TTCTCGGCAAGCGGGGGATGGGGTTGGTTGGTGTTGGAGCAGAGCGGGTGCAGGCTGGTGAGCCGGGGCAGCGGCGGGACATGGCTTGTCGGGCTTTGTCCAAGGAGCTTTGCAGAGGCGAGGGATCTCCTCTTGCGCTCACCCAGCGAGATGCAGGTGGAAGCGCGTGGAGCAGTGTAAGCCCTGAGTCTTGTGTTGGTGATAGGAGGGAGACTGCGTGGGGGGAAATGCGGATTTGGGGGGTTTTATACTAGAAAGCTTGGAGTTGCTGGAGGAAGCTTGATTTTTATCTGCTCTTGAGTGAATCCGGAGCGGAGACTTGCAATGAGTCTGATGATATGAGCGGGCTGGTTCCTTGCTGCAGTTTCCAGCTAGGGGCACCACAAGAGCGGGCAGGGATGGAGCAGTGAGTGGGCGATTGAACATGAGGGCCAAAACGCCAAATTTCCTTTCTGATGCTGCTACAGGCACCATCTGCACAGGAGTGTCCAGGAATCGCTGTGGTGGCTTGGGAGATCTCGGCTGAGAGTGGGCACCAAAGGCAGACGATGGCTCTGGGAGCTGGGGAGGTGCTGGGGTAGAAACTCTTCCTGTATTTTGAGAGCTGGGTGGGTTTAATGTTAATAGCAGCTATCTAGGACTCCATAACTCTCCCTCTGCGAGCCCTGCGGCTTGTGTCTTTGCACAGCTCCACGTTTCAGCTCCTGTCCTTCAGCAAAACTGCAGCATCGCAGAGTAACTGTGGTTGGCAGGAACCTCCGGAGGTGCCTGGTCCAGCCCTGCTCACTTCATCTGGTTGAGGCCTGAACCCCTCCAAGGATGGATCCCCTCTCTCCGGGTCCTGATCAGCCTGCTCTGGGAATATTTTTTTTTGTTAATATCTAGCTGGAATTCCTCTTCTCGCAACCTTTGCCTGCTGCCCCTCATTGGATGCAACCACAGTCCCTGTGGGGTCTCCTGGGGGAGATGCAGGAGCAAGCACGCTAGGATTGCCATGACTTTCAGTCCCGGCGGTGGAGAGCAGAGAGCAGCCTCGGACTGAGGGAAAGCGGAGCGATGCCGGTCCCCAGGTACATTTAAAAGCAAACCTAACGCAGAGATTGCACAGTCGCTGCAAGGCCCTGCTGTATTTCCCGGCAGCCGTGCTGCCAAGTGTTACATGACCAGTTTGTCATGTGCCTGGGTGGCTTTCGCACAGGGCGCAGGAAACATCCTCAGGGGGGAAAAGGCACGAATCACTTTGCCAGCCAGCGCAATGCAGCCTGGGCCAGGGCAAAGGAGATGAGCTTCGATTTGCCTAATCGCCTTACACCCCAGCGGAGCAGGAGGCGGCGGCGAGGGCATACCTGGGCAGAGCTGTTTTGACAAATAGCCCTACAATGGCAAGCGGCTTATAGGAAACGTGACTCACGGACGGAGGCTGAGCTGTGGGCAGTGATGCCTTCCCCGGACGTGTGTCACTCACCTCGCGGCCGGTTTCCTGCCAACTTGCCTGACCTGCTCCGGGGCTGCTGAGCTACTTTCTGCATCGCCCAGGCAGCCCCACAGGGCGCACTGAGCTTTCCCCAAAACCTGCGGGCTCCCACTGCGGCGGGAGCTGGGGACAGCCCAGACCGTTCCCGTTGGGGCAGGAGTGGGGCTGGCCTGTGCCACGCTGAGTCGAATCCCTCTTTTGGCAGCGGACCCAGTTTTATTCCAAAACGCCTTGTGCTAACGTTCACCAAATCAACGCAGGACTAATAATACCTCGTTAATTTGGCTAATCTCACAGCGTGATCCCCTTTGGACTGTTATACAGTGCAGCTTTCAGGGAGGTTTTCCCCTCTGAGAGGGAGACGGTGAGGAGCAACCCTGTAAAGCTGGATGGGTTTCTATTTCCCTGGGTAGGGATGTGCCCAAGCCGGCCATGAAGGCACCAGTAGGGTGTTGGGACTGCCAGCCGAAGGTGACTGGGCTGCAGCACCCAGTGCACCCGCGCTGGGCAGGCTGCAGAAGACACGGGTCCATGGTGCAGCCGGGTTGTTTATGGACCTCCAACTAGTTATTCATGACTGTGCAGTAAATGCTTTATGGACTGCCTGCCTAGCACTTGGTTAATTGCCACAGGGTTTCTGTGGTTAATTGCAGTGAGCAATTAATCTAATGACAACTAACTCAGGACCACTATGGTGGGATGTTTTTGCTGGCGTGCTGGAAAACTCAGTTCGATTCCATGATATGGCTTTGACAACATACGTGACCTTGGAGAAGTGTCTTAAGTTATGTGCAGACGTGATCGGACCGCTTGTAAACACTGGTCTGGCTCTAATCTACCCTTTTAGGTCCTGTTGCTAATGAAGCAGCCTGGACAAGTGGCCTATCCCGGGCTGGGTTTAGCAGCCGAAGCCGGTGCAATCGGGGCTCTGCCACCTTGTGCGGGTCAGGGCTGCTCAGGAAAGGCTTAGGCCCTTCCCAGCTGCAGAGAAGTGCCCCCTGTTTCCCAGCTGCAAAGCAGAACTTTCTGTCTTAAAAGGGTGATGTGAAGGTAAAATCTTTTGACTACGAGGGAACAGATACTGGCTGGATGACGGCTGCACAGCCGTCTTGATAGAGGTGCCACCAATCTGCCCCTCTTACACTTTTAGCTGTCAGAGAGAGGATTTTTATCCTCTTTCCTTTTCTGAGGAACTCAGTTCATCTGTGCCTTCGATCTCCTCTTGCTTAACGGACACGTTTGGCCCTGCTTCCTCCCTTTCTGGTTTTCAAAGCGTGAATTCAGCCTCTCCTAGCTGGTGCCAGACCCTGGGGGTTTGGGGAGATTGAGATGCTTCCCAGTGCAACCAGTTAGCCTCATTGCAGCCCTGTGGGAGGCTGCGCTACCCAATGCCTGCACGTGCCCAGCGCTGCCCTGCTGCCAAAATCTGCCTCCCGATCTGCCTAAATATAATCTCCAAGAGCAATCTGTGACTGCAGGATGCCTGGCTCCTGCTCTGTGGGCGTAGGAGGAGGTGGCAAGGGGAAATCCAGACCACTGACAGGTCCCTCGGGCTCTTCCGCCTGCAAAGATCCCCTTGCCCAGCCCCATTCCTGAGGAAGCCTTCGGACCTGCTCTGGGGGCTCATGCTGGGGTTCCCCCAGGGCACTGCCCCTCCACGGCATCCTTTTTCCTTGGACCCCGCCACCCCCAAGGCTACAGCAGGAGAGAAATGCTGGAGCTGGGGTGGGTGCCAGGAGGCGCGGGGTTGGGGCCAGCCGCGGTCCAGCCAGCTGGGGGATGTTATCTCCTATAGAGTGGTGGGGAGCTGGGGTGGGGAGGGGGACATCCATTAAACAGCACCTACAGGAATCCATGTGATGAGGTTGTACAGTACTCAGCAGGGTACACTAAGGGCAGCTCACCCCCTCCATCCCCTGCTGAGGTGTGCTCCGAGGGGCTCCGAGGACTTCGCTCCGCTCCCTGGTACAAGCCCCCAGGTTCGGTGCCCGCCTGGCTCTCCCTGAGGCCACCTTCACCCCCTTCCACAGCCCGCAGCCTGGGAACGGCTCGTACCGCAACAAATAGTCAAACCTGGGCTGGGCTGAGACAACAAATCACTGCAGGTTTTGACCTGTGCCAAGTTCTGAGGAAGGAGGGAGAGGTGGGGGGGCATCCGAAGGGCTGGCACAGGAGCGAGGATCCCCTGGCAGCAGGCTAGGAGCGTCTCCCTGCCTGGCAGCCGGCTGCGAGGATGGGAGGCAGGAACAACAGGCAGGTCCCTGCGGAGGCTGGGGCTGGAGGTGTGGCGTGGGCTGTCCCCACCATCCCTGCATGGAGCAGGAGGCAGGTGTCATCAGTCCCTGCAGCTGCTGTGCTGGCAGGAGCTCTGCAGTGCCCAGAGGGGGGCCCTTTGCCGGGGCTGAGGACGGGCGACCCATGCAGGTACAGGGATCCAGGGAGGACCGTGGCACAGCTTTCTCCTTCCCTCCCTCTCTCTTTCTCTCTCTCTCCCTCTCATGTTTCAAAGCAGCAGGTGCCAAGAGTTACCTCCCTCCCTCCTTCTTCTTCATCCCTTTCCTGGTCACTTTGGGGCACCCAGGCGATGGTCCTGGTCCTGACCCAGGACCTGAACACACGTGAACGCTGGGTAAGGAGGAGGCCTGGTTGCTAGCAAGTGGCTTGTGGGATCCGCGTCCCTTGCTGCCATCGGGGTAACAAGACTGTGGGGAGAAGGGGGGGAGGCTGGGGCAGCCACCAAATGTCATTTCCAGTAACACTTCGGTGCTTGTTCAGGCCGGCGGGGCGACAGGTGCGTTTCAGGTCTTCTCCCACCAGCGACGAGGATGGCGCTGAGGAAGGCGGGGGGGGGGGGGGGGGTTTTTTTTGCATGGAATTGGATCAAAGCAGCAGCTGAGGGGAGCCAGGTGGGAAAAGAGAGAGAGGGAAGGCAGTGTGTGGAGCCACGGAGGGAAAGTCATGGCCTAGGCATGTCCATTTAGCTGGGAAAACCCCCAGAGAGGCTTAATGAACTTGGATGTAGGCCAGTTAGTGTGTAGGGGTGTTTCCGTCCGATCCGATGGATTAGGAAGCCTGAGCTGGCTGTTGTTGTGCATGTCTGTCAACCTGCTCATCACCTGCACTCCCGTCTGGCTGCCCAGCTTTGGCACTGGCTCGCGGACAGCAAGCTGGTGCACCAGGGCACCCAATGGCAATGTCTCCAGCATGTTTTTCATGGCGTGGCTTTAACTACTGCCTCCCCCTGCGCCCGCTTTTGTGTGTGGGGGCGAC